TGTAAATCAAGTATCGCTTGTAAAGCACTCAACGAATTGCTAGATAATTTTTTTATCGATGAGTGTGTATTGACGTACCTGGCTTGTGATAGTGATCTAATAATAAATCGAAACAAAAGTCTCTCTGCACATTTGTCATCCACATTTAAGCATGCAAGTAAATGCACACAATACGTAGGGTAGGATTAAAAATGTATAGAAAAAGAAGAGTTTTATACATAAATTGATGATGTACATTTTTTTATTATGTTTACCGATCAACGTGTAAGATTCAGAGAGAGGTATCAATTTATACATCAAACATTTTTTTTCTATACGTTTTCGATCTGAGAGCACGAAAATTGCGACAGGAACGAAAATTGGGACAGAGACACGGAAATTAGGATATCTACCCTACATATTATGTGCATTTACTTTCATGCTTAAATATAGATGACAAGTGAGCTCAGACTCATCAATACACACTCATCGATAACGTTCCAAGAAGATTTTGCGATAAGGTCTAGAATACCAATAGCTAAGTCACTGTTGACGTACTTGAGGATGAACCTCAATGTCTTTCGGAGGTGTGGATATGTGCTTGCAGATCGTCATGATCGTTTCCGAGTCGATGCCAGTCGACGGAATTCCGAGCTTGGGGCTTTGATTCGCAAAAAAATCGGTCCACGGTACATCGTGCCAATCACTCAGGTTCATCGAGTCGATTGTCTGCGCCTTGGTGAACTCCGTCTCGCAATAGTCCCAGTACTTTTGTATCTCCTGTGAAACCATGAACGATCCTGCAGGATCTGGTTACGTACATAACAATGAAATCCGGCCATGTTCGAGAACTCACTTCTTGGGCGTACGGCTCGGTGATCACCCCGTCTTTGAACAACTTGTCGGTGTAAACGGTGAGCACGTTCGGATGTTCCTTGATCCGTTTGTACATCAACGGCTGAGTCAGCATCGGCTCGTCCAGTTCATTGTGGCCAAACCTTCGGTAGCCGACCACGTCCACGACCACGTCGTTGTGAAATTGGGCTCTGTTTCATTTTCGTGAAAGAAAAGAGACCTCGTTACACGAGACTTTCGATGGTATAAATTCAAACGAAACTATTTATCCAAACTAACAGCACTTGACATACAAGGAAACATATCCAGGTTACGCGAGTCGGTCTTAATGCAACTTACCGCATATAAACATTATCTTGTATATTTTTTATCTTGAATTCTTAGGACAGTACAATCGTACAATAATGAAAAATGCCTTATTTCGTTCATTGAAATAAAATCATATTTATATCGAAAAGTATTCAGAAGCGTTTCCTTCTACAAAACAAACCCGAATACGATAATTTCTCTAATTCGCGTTCCGATTGCGCAAAAAATGGACAATTTAGGAAGAACAGATGCGATTATTCGAGCCTTGCGGCTCGTTTCTGTAGTTATCGATTGTCAACAACTATAAAAAATCGTCAATGATCGTATCTCCTCTTCTCAAATTGTCCATTTTTGTGCGCAATCTCAGCGCGAATTAGGGAGAAATTACTGTACCTTCTTTCGCAAGAGTTGCAAGAATGTACAATTTATTGTGCACAACTGTTAATTTCCGGAAATCGATAAAATCTAAGAACGCAAATAACTTTTACCGAAATTTGTTCACGCGACTGAATTTTCCATTGTGAGACGCACAATTTTAAAATGTTAGATGGATACTGGAGGAACATTCGACTAAGCGGCGAGTCGGAAGGATCATATTTACAACGTAAGTACCTGTACTCGCCAGCAACTTTGCTGCAGTAAGTGACCAAGTCAGGATCATCGCCGTGTATATGGAATATAGGCGCATTAATGACGCGCGCGACGTCGGTACAGTGTTCACTGGATCGAGAATATCTCGGATCAGTAGTAAAACCAATCTATAACACGACCAAGAAATCAGAGTTTGTTTCGTGAGTGCCAATACCTTAATTATGACTCCACGTCCTGTCGCGACGCGTTCAATGTTGTTACCTGATTGTTAATAACAACGTGAATCACGCCGCCGGTCGTATATTCGGGTAGATTAGTCAGATGCATGGTTTCGTAAACGATACCTTGCCCAGAGAAAGCGGCATCGCCGTGTACCAATATAGCCATCGACTTCCTACCACCTGAAAGCAATCGCAGTTTTAATTCTGAACAACCTTCGGACGTTTACATTACCGTCGACGTTTCATTATCCTACCGTGTCCATTGTTGTATTTCAACCGTAGGAATTAGAAAGGTCCCGAAAATAACGGTTTCAAACTGTGTATTATGCTTATATTGATTCTATCTGAAACGTTGTCGAAAACTGGCAAAGTTTCTTCGCTGTTATAAGGTACAGTAGCGGAAGAAAGAATAAAACGAAGAAGAAAGAAATTGGTAAAATACACTGTTATTGCAAAACTTCTGTAAAACGACATTTTTCGAATCTTGGTACTCGGTGATCGGGCGGGCGTCCATCTGAGAGTAAAACTCTCGACAGTTGCTCTATAGGGTAAATGTGGGTATTACTGCGACGCCCCAAATATACTGCAGTATTTTATAAAAGTAATAAAATCTAACATTTTATAGTGCATAATCTTCTAGAAATGAGTCTTATAATATTTTATATGTTTAATATTGATAATTTATGGCATACAAGTAGCAGTGTTTTTTCACGTTTTCCCGGCGAGATCGAACAGTGAAAATGTTAGATCTACGGAGGTCGTAAGTCTCCGATTCAATCATGTATGACACAGAGTCTGCGTGATTCCCTATGACTCTTTCGAGTGATACGGATGGTAGGTTGATAGAGAATGGTTTTAACACTGGCTGAGATCAATAACACTATATTTTAACACAACATAACAATTTTTAACGCTAGGGTATAGAATGAATTGAGTTGATGGTGAGACCGACCGTTCTCGGATTGCATGGTTTTTCAAGTTTTCCGGATCTAGAAAGAGAAGCGGTCGTTTTGAGTGATTGATCAGAAAATTGTAAGCAAGGGAAAAGGTGACCGCGCCGAACTAACAGTCGCTTGCAGGTATGAATCGTACCTCTGCGAGTGAATCTCGCGAAGAATCCGCGTGTCTCGAAGGTAATAAGGCTGGGGAAAAGGATATTGCCTTGGGTAATTGGTGTTGTGCAGAAGGTAAAGAGACGGTGAGAGAATTTTGGCGACCAGATGTAGGCAGCGTTGAAGGAAATATTACAGGCAGGAAATAACGGCTTTTCGGATAATTAGGTACTATTGCTACGGTCGCTTGTTTGTTTGTGGAAGGACGCTTGCAGTACAGATGGGGTCGTTTGGTAATTTTCGGAATCTATTGTATGGTAGGGACGGTGTTGGGTCGAGAGCGGTCGAGCCGCGTATACTTTATTATTATACTATAGATAGCTTCTATATACGTTTAACGTCGAATCTTATGAAACTCTTACGACTCGTAATGGCAGCTATGAACGCTGATTCAAAAGGCATTTATATTTTAATATAATATTTATTATTATTATATAAATTATTATATAAATAATATTAATTATTATATTTTAATATATAATGAACTATTCGTTTTAGCGTTGTCTTTAGATAAAGTAATCATTACTTTGATGAAAAATCGTCGTACACTACCCCGCTATCATCTATCCTTAGATATTATTTACTAACACAGTATATTGGCGCATACTTTTTTACTGCGTGTGCACATTACTGCGGTGCTTTATCGAACTGCGTGCCTTAACCTATACACCTATACTTGATCGTAAAATACCTATATATATATATATACCTAATTTGTAAAGTGCTACAATGAGAATATCTTGATTCTAGGAATTGTAGTTGTGTGTGTACATTTGAAAGAAAATGGTTTATGTCAACCTTGACATGCGTAGTAATCGGAATGTCCGCAGTATTTGGCTTGTAGTAATAGAAACATAACCGCAGTAATATATGCATTTGTGCTTTCAGAGATCAAATATTTTAAGAAAAATAAATATTCAAGTTAAAGAATAATAGGTATAGCTTAAATTGTCAAGTTGTTGGCGTTAAAGGTCTTATTTTCTCTGTCAAAGTTCGCCTTCATTGAGAAATACGCAGTAATACCTACATTTATCCCAGCAAGGCCTAGCATGGCCAAAGCGTCGACCGCATAACTATTCCTAGTCGCCCGCCTGTCTGATATTATCTATGTTTATTCGAAATTTAAATTTATTTTTGGTTTTAAATTACTACTTTTCTTATGATCACTTAACACATACGATATTGGTGGATTGCCGCCTATAATTTAAAATATAGGTCGCCCGTAGTGATCAAAAGTTTGTCCACCCCTGCTGTATAGTTTCGTATATGCAGGGCCCGCCAGGCCCCTTACCCTTCCCCGCATCTCGCCCAGCTATGCAGCGGATTTTCGAGACTCGAGTTAATAATCGAGATAATAATCGAATCTTTTAATAGCTCAAATCTTAAACCGTTATCACGGCTTTATTTCTCTCCCCACACACGATTGCTCTTACAGCTATGAGGCTTTTTAGTGCTCCATCACAATTTCAAGAATCGAAACCGACATAATAACTGCTTTCAACTCATAGTTTCAACATTTAATTTTGCATCCATAGCCCTATAATAATGAAATTACTAAAGGAATGCAAATAACAATAAAGTTTTACTAACATTCACATATTCGATATAAATTATTCATATCTTGTTCTAACAAATGTATTCTCTTGTTATTTTTGATGACATTGACTGCTCTATAATTTCAGCGTTTGAGCTTTTAGTTTTGCGACTCTCTACGTAATCTATGAGCTTCTAAGTTAACCAATAGCGTTTGTCAAGTAAAATCCAATGTATATTACGAGAAGATATTACGAACAATATTTTGCATAACTTTCTGCAGCACAATACTTTTGCATTTGAAATCTCCTCGAGCCCGTAAGCCTAGTTGAAGATGCAACGATAGCGTTTCAACGAAAATGAAACTACAGCTTTTGCGTCAGTAGCATAATCGACATAATTGGCATAATTGATGGCATGCATTGAGTTAGTTAATAGCAGCGAAAGTGTTAGCAACGGTATACCGCATACATACGTCTGGCGTCGCTTTTCTCGACTTGTTCAGCTCGAACACGACCGACCACTACAGGATCGATTGCCTCCAAGTGCGAAGGATTCGCCATTACGGCGACCATCACTTTTTTCTTGGTCCTGCAAAAGTTGAATACAGTATTCTCTTCGTAACTGAGTAACTTCGGGTCCGCAGAGTTCCCGTTATAAAAGAGGTATTACATTCTTCGTGGTGTTCCAAACGTAGAAAAGAGTAGAGATAAAAAAATATAAATGGACTGAGATTCGAGACGTTCGGAGATAAGAATTCTTCATTTTTGGTTTTTCGTCAATGAGACTATTGGCGATGGGTTTAACATTAAACGAACACTGGCGCTTTTTTATTATTTATTTTATCATTTGAAGAAGGCCTTTACCCAAATCTGTAGCAACTACCTACTTTGGAATCTTGGAAGTCTTCCAAGAGGAATTCCTTCGGTGGTGAGGATGCAATTTAGCCAGTTATGATAGAGATCTGTTTGTCAGCTACGGCGAGAATACGCAGACTTGCAACTCTAGAAACTCTCACCTTTCTAACAATTTCTCCGCGTGCATACCCAAGTGGTATTTAACGTCGCCAGAACCGAAACCTTCCAGAGCAATCGGGTTGAACTGCGTTAGCAATTGGTGTAATGGTTTCGAGCAAACGTTGACCAAGGTGTTCAAGCGACCACGGTGAGCCATGCCTATCACCACGGATTCTACTCCTACGAAAACGTTTCGTTTTCATTTTAACGCATTTTATGTGACATAGTGTGATCTGTCCAATGAATGATCACCCTGCAGTGAGTGAACATTTCCGGTATTTACAAGGGTGTCCCAAAATTATTATACCAACGGAAAATGAGGGGTTTCTGAGGTCATTTGAAGGATCTTTTTCCTTAGGGAAAATGCAATCCGCGGCTTAATGACAACCAATGAGAAGCGAGCTCGACAGCTGCAAGGTAGTCGAGCGACCGTGCGGAACGGGCTTCGACTGCGGGGTGCGACGGAAGGAGGGGGGCTACGCTCAGGTTTCGGGCCGCATTCGGAGGAATGAACAACTCACAGAGCGTGAATTTTCCAAACTTTTGTTTCTACATGACAGTGACAATTTTAAGAAAACCNGTCGATAATGTTTGACTCGAGGACAACATTTTTCCTCGCTTGATTTATAGGGGTTCCGTCATACAACGGAACAGTCCCCTTATCATCTAAAAAGAAATTATCATCATTTAGTACAGTTTGAAAAATGTTATTGTGTTTGAGACGGTGTACGAATACTTTTGTGGGCCAGTGTACGGACATCTTTTATTTTCTGCGAGACTTCCCAAGAAAATGGTCGCCTTCGCGAATTGGTGCAACGAGTTACACAACGTTCTCAAGAAACCAGATATCAAGTGCACGTACGCACATCCCTATCAGCATTCTTAGATCAATTTTGGCAGTATAGAAGGGTCCCGAGTTGGACAGCCGCGTGTATACAGGTTTGTACAGTCGAGATTAAACTGTTAACCCGATGCACAGTGCTGTGGCGGCTACCTCCAGACCTGCCAGCAGAGGCCTCCTCTTCCCGCTAGTAGCCGATCCGCCTCGATCCGTATATATGCACCGAGACTTCGTCCTACCCTTACGTCTAAGGCAAGGGCCCGCTAGGATAGCCTTACCGATGAGTCCTCTAGCGGGCCCCGGACGAAACGTCTCCCCACTCCTTTCCTTTTCCACGACCTTCGAACCGCCGCCAAAGTGCCAACGAGCCAGATTTGTTATGAAGATTTCATACACGATCTACTAAATATAAATAAAGCGGTCAAAGTGGTAGTGGCGTAGGTCACATTTTCTTGATGGTAAGGAACTAGGAGTGTTAATGTTTAAGTACTAACATGCGCATTGTTTACTGCCCTTTATTGTTAAGATAACTTCGAGTTAATTTCATTCATAGTAACTCTATCATTCGTTTTAATTGTCTTTTTAATATTTTGGAATTATTTCTGTTTCATACTAGACGAAGAATTTGCCGGCAATCAGAATGGGACAGAAAATAGTTCGATACGTCTGACGTATAATATAAAGTATATTGAAAACACACACGACAACGCTTAAAATATTCACAGTATACTGAGGACAGAAATTAGTGGACCATTGAAGCACAGCTTCTTGGTAAGGCGCAAGGGCGCAATGTCTTCAACGTAAGGACGTAATGTGTTTAACGCCAGGGCGCAAAATGTCCACCTGGTGTATTCAGCGTCGCGGGGGACCGGTAACACGTTCAGCGCCAATAATCAACCACTAAAATCCCCACAAGATCAATGCAATTTAACCCTTTGCGCTCGAGTGATGATTCTGAGGCACCACTAAAATTGTTATATCACGTTCTAAGATAATTTTTATATGACCAAAGCTTAGATTTTAAACATTACTGAAAGCGTAGCTGTTACGTGAATCAGAACACTAAATTTCGTACGCATAAAGTGTACACTTTGCCGTGTAAAATAGAAATAATACAAGTCAGAAAAATTATTCTAAATTTACAGATCAAATGGATTCGAGTGGAAAGGGTTAACTAATCAAGCAGAAACTAGAAAGTTATAATTTATCATAGTGGATGACATTAGAAATCTTTCGCATCCGAAACATCCTAATCAAATTCAGTTTGTTCGAATATATTACAGAGAAAGTGAATCTTCAAAATTGGTCAAAAATTAGTGTCACCCATGTTTGGCCGACGCGGCGCTCAACGTGTTAATACGTCGTCACTTTTCCTTGACGACTTCCTATTAGATTTCCTTGAAATCTACGTGATCTATCGCAGTTCACGGTCATACAAAATTATCGTATTTCCGGGAAATAGGGGGTTTCTGAGATCATGCGAAGTAACTTTTTCCTTAGCGAAAATGCAATCTTCGACTTTGCTTACGGGTTATTATTGAAAGCAGTGACCAATGAGAAGCGAGCGCGCGAACTGCAAGATAGTCGAGCGAGCGGCACGTGGCTTCGATCGTGGAGCGCGAGAGCTTCGAGCCGCGTTCGAAGCAATGAACAAGTCACGAAGCGTGAACTATCCGTTTTTTTTTTTTGGTTACGTGACAGTGATATTTTTAAGAAGAACGCTGTTCACCCTTATTTTAGAATGTCTGAAGAACATCTACTAATTTTTCGGAGCCGAAATAATAAGTAGTTTAACCGTGACCGCCGTTTAAATTATTCATTCAGCCAATTACCGTGAAGATTAACAATAAGAAATCCCATGAAGCTTATGCAAGAGATATTTTTGTTTCAATAATTCCGTATCCAAACAAAATTCAACGAACGATTCGCAAAGCTAATTCNCTTTGCTTCAATAATTCCGTATCCAAACAAAATTCAACGAACGATTCGCAAAGCTAATTTAATAATAAATAATCGCGTTAAAGGACATGAAGGATTCGTTTGTTTCAGAATTGTAAAGAATATCACTAATAGTAAGCTCAACTGTTTAGTTGCGGATGCACTTGCTGCACGGAAATGTGGGACGGGATTTACGATGTCGGTACGCTGACCGTGCACATTGTTCAGCTGATGCCAGGTCAATGGCTGTACCGAACAAGAGATACGGTATACGACCTCAGATATAAACGGTATAGTCAACGCGGAGTTCACTTTCACTGCACTGTGTACGCAGGTATCCGTATGCACCTGGAAAGCCTGTTGAAGAATTTGACAACTTTTACCTGGTGAAACATCTGCCCTGGGCCAATATTGTTAGCGAAAAGTCCCTTGTTGGACAAATGGGTAAATTTCGTTGGACGTACGGCAAAACTTTTCCCTGCGTTCCGTTAAGTCGGAAATTGCACATCAAGCAGGTAAACTAAAGATATTTTATAAGAAATAACAAATATTGGCTACTGCAAGAGAATAATGATCAAAAACATCGAAGTCGACACTGTACTGCGCGGAAAGAACAAAAATGACATCGATGTACAGTAAATTCTCCCCAATTGACACTCAGATTGTGCACAAAAACGGACAATTTGGGAAAAGGAGATACGATTATTCGAGCCTTACGGCTCGTTTTTATAGCTGTTGACAATTGGTAATTATAAAAACGAGCCGCAAGGCTTGAATAATCGTATCACCACTCCTCAAATTGTCAATTTTTGTGCAGAATCTGAGCGACAATTAGGGAGAATTTACTGTACATACTGGATTGACTTCCACAGTCGCCGGATACAAATCCAATAGAAAATGTTCGGGCAATCATGAAGTATACATCACAAAGAATTTGTATATTTTTTCCAAAGTTTTGCCGTACACGCTCTTGTCAAACAGACTGTACCGTCCAACGAAATTCATCGTGCGAGGCACGCCACGCTATCCGACATGGTTTTTGATTTCCTATAACCACTATGAAATTCTTGTAGAGCTTGATCCCTCGAACAAAGAATCCTAATACCGAAATGCTCCATCACCCTCAGTTTTCGAAGAAAACGTGCTTTTGTAAGAACCCAGAATTTTCGACAAAAATAAGGTATTGCATGAACAGTAAATACGTTAGAAAGTTCTAATCGGTCTTAAAAGATAGAGAAGAGTTTTCCGAATATAGTGGTATACAATTTATTAATTGTGCTTTTGGTCCTAAATAACTATAAATTAATGTCAAAGTCAAAACAAAAAAAATTTTTGTATTTTTACGAAAAATTCTTTATCCAGCACGAAAACTCTAACCAGGATCCGATTCTGTAGAAATTTGTGAAGAACAAATCTTTTAAATTGGATTGCATTTCTTATTGATTTTTTCCGTATTCTATCAATATCAGTATCACAAATTTCGTCAGATGCATTGACAAATTATATTTACACGTGTCTTATATATGACTGTCTATCATCATAAAGTGTATTCGGACGTACAAGTTGCGACCAAAAAAAATGCATACTATAAACAAATCATACAATCGTATAAAATACAGATATAAAACGACATTGATCATAAATAAATAATAATTTTTAAGATGTTAAACTTCTTGGAACATATTGTTAAAAAATAGAGGTATGGATTTACACAAAGTGGGTGCCCCATTGGATCCTTACATCGGTGTTGATTACGCATAGCTTCGGCCCTGCCGAGCCGAGAGAAGAGAGGCAGCCGGGCATATGACGGCAAAACGTCGTGCACGCTTTTCTGAAAATTATTTTCTCGGCCTGCTCGAAATATAAATCGTTCTGACACTTCTATTGAACCGTTTCTTCTTCAGAAATGTGTCTACAGAATCGGATCCTGGGCGGAGTTTCCATGCTATATACCTGATATACAAGGGACTTTTCGCCTACGATTTCAACCCGAGTTTCACCAGGTAAAAGTTGCAAAAATTCTTTGACAAGGTTTCCAGAGGCATGTGGAGAAATCTGTACACACAATGCTGTGAAAGTGAACTCCACGTTGACATCGTGAATCCCGTCCCACATTTCCGTGCAGCAAGTGCATCCGCAACTAAACAGTTGAGCTTACTATTAGTGATATTCTTTACAATTTTGAAACAAACGAATCCTACATGTCCATTAACGCGATTATTTATTATTAAATTAGCTTTGCGAATCGTTCGTTGAATTCTGTTTGGATACGGAATTATTGAAGCAAAGATATTTTTTGCCTAATTAACTTATTGTTAATCGTCGCTGTAAACAGCTCAATTAATAATTAAAGCGGCTGTCACTAAATAGTTGAGTTTACTATTAATGATATTCTTTACAATTTTGAAACAAAAGTATCCTACATGTCCTTTAACGCGATTATTTATTATTAAATTAGCTTTGCGAATCGTTCGTTGAATTCTGTTTGGATACGGAATTATTGAAGCAAAGATATTTTTTGCCTAATTAACTTATTGTTAATCGTCGCTGTAAACAGCTCAATTAATAATTAAAGCGGCTGTCACGGTTAAGCTGCTTACTATTTCGGGTTCGAAAAATTAATAAATATTCTTCGGACATTCTAAAATAAGAGGATGAACAGCGTTTTTCTTAAAATTGTCACTCTGTCATGTAGAAACAAAAGTTTGGAAAATTCACGCTCTTTGAGTTGCTCATTCCTCCGAACAAGGCCCGAAGCCTGAGCGTAGCCCCCTCCTCCCGTCGCACCTTGCAGTCAAAGACCGTTCCGCTAGCTCCCTCGACTACCCGAGCTCGCTTCTCATTCATCACTGTTGTTCGTTAACACGTTGAATGCCACGCCGGTTTTACAGAAATTGTCCGTGGCGCCACGATGAATTTTCTTTTATGTGATACATATAATGTTGAAATATTATCTGCAATAGATAAGTTACAGTGTATAACCATGTTTGACATGTTAATTGCGACAGGGGTCACTGTTTGAATTGACGATGGTAATAATACAAAATTTTAGATATTGACATTTGTTTGAAATTATATATATTTCTATCAATTTGGGCGCGCCGGTCACCGCTGGCCCCCATGACGTCACCGCCAAGTTAAGTGCCGGCCACCGGTAACCTCCGTGGCATTCAACGTGTTAATAACTGTCAAACAGAGCCACGGATTTCATTTTCGCTAAGGAAAGTTACTTCAAATGACCTCGGGAAATCCCTCATTACCTGCTTATACGATAATTTTGGGATACTCATGAAAATGTATTGTACCATTTCCACATTAAAATTTATACAGTTGCGGATGTCTCGCAGTTCCTGTTTTGTAAAAATTTATTTTGTTTAACGTATTTTTCAATAAAGCTTATACTGCACTTTCCAAAAATGTTAGAATTGTGTTCAAGGTTGTATGATCTCACTAGTTACAAGATTAAATGACAATCATTATAACAAACATGGAGCTCACACACTGAACAGGTCACCCTGTGTAAATACATGCAATCAGCAGAATCCATACCGGAGATTTGTCTTATCTCAAGTTTCAAATGGAAACATTCAATCGGAGCATTTATCACAGTTCCGTTTCATTATGAACGAACCGTGTTTTCCATGTTTACCTTTCTCGGCTGACGTTTCTATACACTCAATCATCGATGGAATGAATGAGTCGCAGCCTTCAAGGCCGAACCTCTTTTCCGTAGGGTACTTCTTAGCCAAAAATCCTTCGAACGTCACCGCCCTCATGATATTCAACCAAATTAATTTTCTGTGCTCCGCCGGAAGCTCCCAAGCACCTGGCACCTCGAATTTATGCCTCAACCATTCCAGCTAGAAAATATTTAGTGTCTAGAAATTGAGAAGTTTTAATATAATTTATATTAATTTAATTTTCTACTCAGTCATATTAAAATTGCAGCGTTTCGCAACTTCCATATAAAAATGTTGACCTGCCTAGATCGTATATAAACGGATAAGTACAACCTTGTTTCAAAAAATTAAATGATAAAGGTAGCATCTCTTGCTTGCTGATTATTTTAAGGTTTCAGATTTTCAGTACTTTTTTACTGTATTCTCCCCACTAGTCCAATTTCGGGTCTACGAATTCCAGTTATAGTATAGGTGCTACATTCTTTGTGGTGTGCCAAACGTAGAGTAGGATAACGATTGAAAAAAGAGGGACTGGAAGATGAGGCGTTTGGCAAACATTAAAAAACTAATGCAGGCTTAGTTTATTAAATTAAAAAAATCAATATTCCTTATTTTAGGTTCTCCGTCAGTAAACAATTACCATCGCATTCGTCTTGTGTTTCTTATTAAAATCACACCAAACACGATATAACTACGATTATAATTACGCGTGTATTAAGTTGAAGTCCGAAACCATAATCGCTTGTTAAACAAGTAATTATAATTGTAATAATATCGTGATCGGTGTCAGATGATTCAGATGAACGAAACGAATACGATAGTAAAAGTTTGATGAAAAAGGAACCAAGATTAGAAAAGTTGTAATCTTTTGCTTCGCTTCTGGTAGTGTGAAGAGGGACATCATTTTGACAGTTATGGTAAAGATCTTTTCTAACAGTTTATGGAGAGAATACTGTATTTCGAAAACGTTTAAGTGTTGGTCCAGAAATTGTAACATACATTGTTGTACCATACCTATACCATAACATATTTGTGACGCATCGAAATTCGTGCTCCATATGTACCGGCCTCTCCTCGTAAGGACTATTCAATGTTGTTGAATAGATGTAGCTGATGTAGCATATATGCGATTGAGGTATAAAGGACTACAGTGTGTCCTAAAATTATTGTACAAGCAAGAAATGAGGGATTCCGGAGGTCATTTGAAGTAACTTTTTCCTTAGCGAAAATGCAATCCGCGATTTCGTTTACGAATTATTAGCGAAAAACAGTGGCCAATGAGAGGCGAGATTAGCCGACGCGAAGCGGCCGCGCCAACGAGCGCACGAAGCCCAGTTCCGCTCATTGGAAGTAGCTCATTTTTCGTAAAGGAAAAAGTTACTTCAAATGAGCTGAGGAATGCCATACCATATCATTCCCGGAAATACCATAATTTTGGGACATCCTGTACATAGATGCATACTCTATCAAATTGCACGAACACCTACCACCCTGAGATCGTGGATATAAGTGTACTCGAGACCCAAGTGTCCGCAGTAAACCTGATTCAATCTGACCAGTATTTCACGCAAAGAGAGATTCCGTCTGGGACCGCCGATCACGGTGAAGGGCGCGAGCGGGAACTCTCTGTCCATATCAGCTTCGGTCATGCCCTGGAGATGTTTCCGCACAACAATAGCTGGCGGTAAATTGGACGTGCCCTGAAGCTTATAGGACTCCGAGTTTTGTATACGCAGAGGATCGATGTCGGCGATCAGGTGGCCTCGTGTCTTGAACAAAATGACTATGGATCAATATCACCTAATCGAACCAAAGCGGACAGGCGTTTCGCCCGAAACCGAATGCGCGATAAGTACTTGATAAGCTCTAATCGTGGCGTTGATATCCAACGCTCCGTTGATGAACCTCTCGCCCTGTATTTCGCTGTCCGATTTCGTTCTCGCGCTTTGCTGAGGAAACCCGCCGCCTGAGAACAAGACAATGGACAACCGTTCGGTTGATCTGTATTGTTACGAACGCAGTAGAAGATGCAAAAGCATCGTTAACCTGACGGTGGCGCTGCCAAATTCGACGGTGCAACTGCGGGCGTTGACGACACGCGCCAAGATGACTGCTTGTCAACCGGAGTATTTGGATTATTTTCATATACAAATCGGAAAAATGGTTCCCACGAGGGACTCACGGACGTTGGATTCTTCTGCCACAGCTGGTGAATGTGCTCCAAGTATTGGCTGTTGTTCATGATGAGCAGCGACTCGTATTTTCGGTTGTCGTCGTGTTTGAATCGCGCATTGAACGTCCCGAGGCATTTGCATCGCGAGAATGGCGGAACTTGCGGTCGCCTGTACCCATCTGTGCAGCGGCGACACAGATGCTGTATAAGACATCTTGATCGTAGGCTCGCGTACATCTCTCCATTTGCTTTTACACTGGACCGTAACGTCGCATCGAGTAAATGTCCCAATGCACCAGCAATTTCGAATACGTTGTACGCATCTGTCGAGCTCGAACGGTGCAAGGATTCATGCTGGCATGACACTTGACGGTTCGAAAGGTTCCGTTTGCAACGAGCTTCGGACGATTGTCTGATACTACCCGGCGTCGTTTATCGACGAGCGACACGTACGCGTCGATTTCGATTGCGGAAAATGAGACGAACGAATCGATACATACCGGGGCAACTTTCTTCTCGAAAGTTTTCTCGAACAACGTTTCACGATGGAAAAATCGGTAGCTTAGCACTAGGGGATAAGGTTATCCAAATGGAGAAGATTGTCCAAGAAGGCGAGCCGGAGATCGTCGAGGACGACCTACCCGAGTTCGATCACATCACGCAAGCCTTGGACGATTTGATCAATCTTCCCTACATAATTCCTCGAGAGGATATCAAGACGATGTGGGCGAGACTGATGCGATTCATTAGGAAAACCATCCTCAAGTCGAATCGTCTGTTTCGCTTACCGATCCTACTGCGAACCGAACACATTTACACCTACGTGATACTTTTTTGGGAAGCAAGTTTGTAATAAAAAACCTTCCACGCCTTTAGTTATTTCTAATAGTGTAAGCAAAGCTGCAGAAAATTCATTTTGCCCAAGGTCAGACGGTTTACACTATCGACGCGTCCGGATGTAAGCTTACGTTGTTCATTATCGTTGACAAGGTAAGATCTCGAAGTGATAAACGTCGATTTTTATGTAACTTTGGGAAAGTTTTTAGAAAAATGTTGGGCAAGTAGCTTTTTATCGACCCTCGTTCAGCATCGAAGGGGGAAAACAGCCCCCAAAGTTGGGGGTCGGAACCATACTTGGACGAATATCCGAAATTATCAGAGCTAGAAGGGTGGTTCAAATTCTAATGTTATGTATCTCTATATCTCAATTTGTTTAAGAAGTATATTAAAAGGTGACATCTTTTGGTCAATTATTTATTATTATATTTATATTTATTATTTTCTTTTCTTGAATATTTGTTCGTAAGAAGTGTGTGCATGTCGAAATACAACACATATGAATGAATTAGAATTTTGATTTCTGCAATTTAGGAAAGGTTATAATTTGAATTCTTTGGTATTTTCCATAATACACAAAACTCTCTTAGATACAAATAATTAAACAAATAGGAGATTTTCGTGATATTTTGAATAATTATGCGATGCTGGTAACCAATATTTTATTCGGACTGGTAAAACATTATCATTGCACTTTGAGAAGCTATTTCACTCCTTTAATGTGAACGAAGGCTCATTAACTTTTTCTAATTAACTTCTCTCAAAATTTAAACAATATCGGCGTGTATCACTTCCAGGCCTTCGCTTGTGAGTCACTTGCCACCTTATCGGTTTAGTGAAACGTTCAGATAGGAAATCGCTTTAAATAGACACGGCTTGACACGTGCCAGTTTTGACACTGAGAGCCGCGGTTTTCCGGGAAATGTACGTTCTAAAACGTATTGTTCGTAAATATTAGCGATCGCTTAATTGTTTATACATGTCTTTGGTAATGAGTTCATTCACACTTACAGGGTTCTGCGAGTTCAACGTACACGGATCAAAGAATTATAAAAATTAGCGCTAACAATGAACCGTCAGAAACCGTTTACCCGAAGAATCGAATTGTGTCGAATAAGGTGAGCATTTAATTTAATTAATCAACTTTACAATATGTCCAGGTCCATTCAAATCTTTCTTCGTAAATAGACTGTGAATTTACTTCTGTACAAATAAATATTAAAAGACTGATCAAGTGATCTAGGCTCTTCGTTAACGATCACGAATTAAGAACAAACTAAAGCCGATTTAAATCTAGTAGTGCACGGCGAAGTTTACACGAAGTACGTGCGGTTAAATTTACAGGCCCCATCTTTCTCACACTTCTCGAGCTGAAACCACATTTCAGTAGCCAAGAATAGAATACAATTTTATTTTATAAAATAATATAATAAAATATATATATAATTATATAATAAAGTACATAATAATAAATAATACTATAAAATATTTTATTTTATTTTTCAGTAATTATCATCTTACTTTTATAAATGCAGCACCAATGGATAGATAGAATCCTTCTATTTAAAATGAGTCTAAACCTAGTCCATAAATCAGACTACGTTTTTCGGAGAGCTTATCATTACAGATTGCTTATTAATTAATTATAATATTAAAATATAATATTAATTCATCCGAGAATAGTTCAAATCAGTCCAATTTACATCGTGTCTAGACACATTTTAATCAGAAGAAACTCAGCTATCCTTTGATGTTATAATTATAAAGGTAAGGCGACAATGACTGAAAATGAAATTTTCTTTATTGCACGTTTATTTTATGCTCGTCGCAGTGCCGCATTTAACCATTCAAATGCCGAATCTCGATCATTACTATTCGATTTCTATCTTACACCGTGTAAATTTAACCGCGCACTGTACTATTTACTTAACCCTTTGAAGTCTGATTTATTTTTTGTTAATTTGCGTTATATATGAAGTCAAGCTTTACGTACATGTAGATGCTAAGAACAAGAAATGTTGATTTCATTAGTGTAGGTTATCCCTTTTAGACGCTAAAGAGCTGGGACACATGTGTCCCATTGGTTACATGTAAACAAATATGTGCGTGGTATGCATTCTGTCTCTTATACACATCTAGATGTGTATAAGAGACAGAATGCATACCACGCACATATTTGTTTACATGTAACCAATGGGACACATGTGTCCCATTGGTTACATGTAAACAAATATGTGCGTGGTATGCATTCTGTCTCTTATACACATCTAGATGTGTATAAGAGACAGAATGCATACCACGCACATATTTGTTTACATGTAACCAATGGGACACATGTGTCCCATTGGTTACATGTAAACAAATATGTGCGTGGTATGCATTCTAAGACTGGTGTATTCGTATATTGTGGAAAAACGGGATTCGTTTCTCCCAATAGGCGTACGAAATTCATACGTAGGTGGGACACATATGTCCCGATAGACCCCAAAGGGTTAAGATTTTCATATGCTTCAAATATTTTTCACATTTTCACATGTTGAATAATAGTATCGTCCTGAATTCTATAGTTCTCTTCCATAAACATGCGTGTACTATTGGAAGCTAAAGAAAATGGTCTCTACCCACAAACTAAACAACGCGCGGGGCAAGGGGAATCGGTCGTCCATCGAAGCACCACTGAATCCCTCCTACTTTTAAGATTCTGAGTCACTATTGGCTAAGCTACGCGCTGGACAAAAGACCTGATTAGGTGGAGCGAGTGACCGCTTTCCTTTGCTTCTCGCGTTGTTTAGTTTGTGAGTAGAGAGGCCATTTTCTTTTAGCTCCCAATAGTACAAACATTTTTATGGAAGAAAACTGTAGAAATAAAAGGACGATACTTAATCCGCTAACTGTCACGATCCCTATTTGGGGATTTTGGAATTTTACGTATACTACTTGGCGCGAAGTATCAGGTGCGTTTGACAGTATAATGTCATTTTATACATATCAGTCAATATTGTTTATAGCAGACGATGTGTATTTTGTGTTTCGTTTCTTTTCAACAAGTGAACTAATTTGGAAATCATCTGTAAGTTGAACACAACAAAATTATCATGTTTGAAGCATGATATTTTTGGTTTGGTTTTTATATTATAATTAAATATCATACACAAATATGTAATTTAGAGACTATATAGTAACTATGTGTTACTTACTTAGTCTTTTGTTTTTCATACAATAAAATTTGTCTTTCTTTTTCTTATTCATGCAACCTGCCACAATCCCCATTTGTGACTTTTTAAAGTTTTAAGTAAAACTTTTTGTTGCGCATATACATAACTTTTGCCGTCAAAAATTCAAAAAATAAATTTGCAGTTAGAAAACGGTAATTGAGCTCTTTTAGTAATAATAGCTAATATTAATATAAATAAACATAAAGATCTAATAGGTTAATAGGGACGATACTAATTAGTCAATATGCGAAAATGTGAAAAACATTTGAAGCATATGAAGATCTTAAGTAAATAGTACAGTTTCATTCATGGTACGGAAACCATTCTTTCTAGATGCCAATAGTACTTGAAAACTCTTGATGTGATATAATATGAGATATGATAAAAGCGTATTGCACAATGGTATTTTCACCTTGAACGAGTGCATAAACATATACAGTTCTTAAGGCCGTGTTAATAGATATGATGACGTAAAATATCTTCCGAACACGGAGCGTTCAAATTTTTCGGTCATAAACTGAAAATTCGGATGCAGGTTTAGAAACCTCTACGAAAAATAATTCGAACCGCCACTGTCTACTGTTCGAATTTCTTGCTTAATTGTACATTTCATTTTTTTATGCATGTTCCAAGTACACAATTTGGAACTTCCTGCCGAAGAATCTGTTCGAGCAGTTCAGGCGGATCGCAAACTTTTATTTCCTCCTGTCGGCGTTTACATCAACGTTGTCGAGAACATCTGCAATATCACCAGTCACCAGCATTTTGCCACTTGCCTTCGTCGTTTTCGTGACCGCTTGTAAACAGGCATACGAAGATTATCAGCGTTACATCGGTGACAAGCGCATAAATCGAAGACGCGTGAACGTCATGCGCAGAAAATGTATACAGGTAAAAAGCGTATTTGCATACAACATCTGGCTTTATTTGACCGCGCTCGAGGCTGACCGCAAACGTTAGGTTGCTAATCCGAAGCTTATGGTATATGTACCGTGAACACGCCGCGCCATCATGCTCGATAGAGCCGTCGTTGTAATAAATGCTAATATGCAACACATCATGCTGGGATTTCAAATTCTCAGTCTCGCAATTAGTAAGATCACAATTTAATTTTAAATGCTTTTAAATGCAGAAATCGTGTTCTTTTTTTGTTTATTCTATTATAATCTGAACGGTCATTCTTATGATAAAAAAAGATGATTTTATATTACATGATGTTTTACACCATGCATTACCTATTATAATTTGTATTTTTTAACGTAGATATATTGGTGCGATTTCTTTAGTAAGAACAAATTGTCTGTATATTGCAAGAATTTTCTTACCTATTATTATTACGACAGTTCTGTTATATGCAAGTCTACCCGCGTTTATGATTGAATTATGACATTACCTAACTTATCTTACGAATTGTGTGTATATGTTACAGTGAAACACCGAAATCTGGAGAATGTCGACTTTCACCGGTGAATGTCAACATTTACCGCTGTCTCTTATACACATCTAGATGTGTATAAGAGACAGATATGTTACCGTGAATGACCGAAATTGGCGAATGTCGACTTTCACCGGTGAATGTCAACATTTACCGCTGTCTCTTATACACATCTAGATGTGTATAAGAGACAGATATGTTACCGTGAATGACCGAAATTGGCGAATGTCGACTTTCACCGGTGAATGTCAACATTTACCGCTGTCTCTTATACACATCTAGATGTGTATAAGAGACAGATATGTTACCGTGAATGACCGAAATTGGCGAATGTCGACTTTCACCGGTGAATGTCAACATTTACCGCTGTCTCTTATACACATCTAGATGTGTATAAGAGACAGATATGTTACCGTGAATGACCGAAATTGGCGAATGTCGACTTTCACCGGTGAATGTCAACATTTACCGCTGTCTCTTATACACATCTAGATGTGTATAAGAGACAGATATGTTACCGTGAATGACCGAAATTGGCGAATGTCGACTTTCACCGGTGAATGTCAACATTTACCGCTGTCTCTTATACACATCTAGATGTGTATAAGAGACAGATATGTTACCGTGAATGACCGAAATTGGCGAATGTCGACTTTCACCGGTGAATGTCAACATTTACCGCTGTCTCTTATACACATCTAGATGTGTATAAGAGACAGATATGTTACCGTGAATGACCGAAATTGGCGAATGTCGACTTTCACCGGTGAATGTCAACATTTACCGCTGTCTCTTATACACATCTAGATGTGTATAAGAGACAGATATGTTACCGTGAATGACCGAAATTGGCGAATGTCGACTTTCACCGGTGAATGTCAACATTTACCGCTGTCTCTTATACACATCTAGATGTGTATAAGAGACAGATATGTTACCGTGAATGACCGAAATTGGCGAATGTCGACTTTCACCGGTGAATGTCAACATTTACCGCTGTCTCTTATACACATCTAGATGTGTATAAGAGACAGACTTTGAATTGCACAAGAGTCCCTTGCTTTTACAACTGCATTTATTTGTGGAACACTTCCTTTTGCAATGACAGGTTTTGGACCTCCACCAGAGCATATCTGTGATTGTCGCCACACACCGGAGAGGGTCCGAATGTACAACAATGTAATGAAATATTCGATCTTTCACCGACGTATTTGGCATCTGTTGACATTCACCGGTGAAAGTCGACATTCTCCAATTTCGGTCATTCACGGTAACATATATACTATCGTGACTCTGCATTTTCGTTCATATCCTTCTAGTTTTTGGAAAGTTTGTCTACTTTTCCTGTGTATTTGGTCCCTTGTAGGTTAAATCCAAAAAGGCAACTGTTGTTATATCATTTTATCATTTGACATAACCTACAATGACTGTGTGAGTGAGATATATGATTGCATTTGCTTTATCATTGAGTGCAATGTCTCGTCCGTTTGCTACAAATGTTTTGTCAGCCAATACAAGATTACCTCATTGTCAGCGTATTTCGTATATATCTCTTTATGACTGATTATTCCGAGTACACATACACACATACAGCACGACTGCATATTATTTTCGCGTTTTAGTTTACACGCGAGTGTTATCTTTCCGATTCTAACATGATGCAAATCAGCGTCCCTATGTGCAGTAATTTCTCCCTAATTCGCGCTCAGATTGCGTACAAAAAATTGGGAAGAGAACAATTTGGGAAGAGAAGATACGATTATTCGAGCCTTGCGTCTCGTTTTTATAGTTGTTGACAATCGATCGTTGTAAAAACGAGACACAAGGCTTTTATAATCGTATCTTCTCTTCTCAATTTTTTGTACGCAATCCGAGCGCGAATTTCGTTATTTCGCCGCGCTCTCCATCACTGTACAATTTAAGCATCGTATTTTCTATAATTTCTTGTTTTACTGTAACCTTGACCATTATTATTATTATACGCGTAGTCAATTCACTGCGAAGAGATAGTGGTCGGTGATCTGGTGAAGGTGTCACGGGACGAAGACATACCTTGTGATCTTTTACTTCTGCATGCGTTGGAAGAAGATGAGCGTTGTTACGTTACCACCGCCAATCTTGACGGAGAGAATAACTTGAAGGTAAAAAGATCTTTCTTGAAAAGAAAGAAAAAACGATCCCACAAGATTTCTTTACAAATTCGATCTCACCCGTTCGATTCATTTGTCATCTGTTTAGATGTTGATAGTTCCGAAGGTGCTCTCGAAAATGACCGTGACGGAAATCGCATCGATGGAGGCCACTGTCACCTGTCAGCATCCTTCGTCCGATCTGTACAGTTTCCACGGGAAGCTGGAAATCAATGATAACGACAGCGAACGCTGTGGCCCTCTAACTAGCGAGAACCTATTGCTTCGTGGTTCCACATTGAAAGATACGGACCACATAATCGGGTGCGCGGTATACACCGGGCAAGACACGAAGTTGTCCTTGAACTCGAAAATCAGGAGTAACAAGTTCTCCACTGCCGAGAGGTAGGCGGATTTTTCTAACCGTGAAACCATACGTTATGCAGTGGTGCACGGTTAAATTTACATCGATTCATATCTTAATCCAAGAACTGTATCCAGCACAGCTCGACAAGATAAACTCAGAATAAAAAAGAATTTCGTTTTCAGTAATTATCGCTGTATCTTCGTAATTATCAATGCATAACCGAGATTTTTCTGATTAAAATAAGCCCAGACACGATGCAAATCGGATTAATTTAAGCTATTCTTAAATTAATCAATAAACAATCTATATGGTGAGTCACGCAACTCGCATACTCGAAATAACTTTAAAATTATGCTTTTTATGAAAAATGATTGAATATACCGTTTTAAAGGTGGGCAAATATTATATGTAGGGGGTGACCAAATTATCAAGACTACTAATGTAAAATTCCTTGAAATGAGCAAGTTACGTGGCTCACCCGGTATAACGATAAGCTTTTCGATCAACGTAATCCGATTTACATCGTGCTTGGACTCATTTTAACCAGAAGAATCTCGGCTATCCATAGGTGCTACAATTATAAAAGTAAGACGAGAATTGCTGAAAAGAAATTCTCTTTTTTGTATGTTTACTTTGTCTAAACCGCTGTTGACGTACGTTTATCTCCTTTTTCTTCGCTCCAGTCATTCTCCATCCTCGTCTAGTGAGATAAGGCCTCGATAATTGTAAGCTTGAGGCACTGCGATGGGAAAGAAAGAGTCGGACTGGGTCGTGTAAATTTAAGCGTACAAATTTCATGTAAACTAAACCGTGCACCACTGTACAGTACTAGTCCGCAGATGTTACAAGGTGTTTGATTACAGATCGATTAACAAGTATATCATCGTATTCATAATACTACTGCTGGTTGAAGTAATAGAGTCTTGCTCGATGAAAACTCTGATCGACGCGACACAACATTGGAAATCGTACCTCGGTGACCACGAAGCGCTGGCTTTTGGGTCGTTGGTCGATAACTTTTTCGCCTTCCTAGTCTTGTACAGTTACATCGTCCCCATATCGTTGTACGTCACAATAGGTAAGAGACATTGTTGTTTTCGTTTTTTTCAAACGTTTATTAATGCTAGGTTTTGCTTCATAAAAATAACAAGTATATGTTTATTCAGATCTTTGGCGATTTTTATTGTAATTCCATATTAACAATTTCGATGAGAGTAGATTAAAAAATTTGTAACGCGTCATTTCGACGCGTTTCGTAAACCTAGTGTTAAAACCGTCGCGCGATACAAAGTTATTCGTGCCAAAATTAAATAGGGGACCTCGAATAAAGGTACATGATGCATTTATGACTTTTTGATATAACGTAGTTTAATGTTATACCGTATTTGATAGATAGATCGTTTAGATGATTCCCGATGAAAAAGGCCTTTATTCCATTGAAAACAATCAATTGATCTCAATATTCGTTATAATAAAATCAAATAATTAAGGACGGCAATAAACATTTCTTCCTGCGTGAAGAAATATTACGCGTATTTTACGTGTAGTTTAATTCAACTACCGGCAATGTGCACTAAAGTGATATACAAGGACTGTAGAATCATGCCACACTGATTACTGAATTTCAAGAAAAATGCAACATGGAACCGTATCCAAGATTCCCATTCAATTGTCGGAGATATTGCACTTCTGATCAACATAGAGAGACACGTGGCAATCTGTGATCAATTGTTCTCGTTACAGAATTACAAAAATTCCTCGGTTCGTTTTTCTTCAGCTGGGACATCGACCTCTACGACGAGAAAACGGATCAACCGGCAATAACTAACTCATCGGACTTAAACGAGGAGCTAGGTCAGATCGAGTTCCTATTCACGGACAAGACTGGCACACTGACCGAAAACCTAATGGTGTTCAGGCGTTGCTCCATCGCCGGGAAACTGTACATGGAAAAGGACTGCGATGGCCATTTGTACTCCTTACCTCCCAGTGGAGACGTTGAGGAAGCTGAGAGGCTGTTCGACTGGGAGGTAATTATTTTAAATAGACCTTTGTTTAACACCATTGTAGCCATCATCGTTTACGGCGTTTCAAATGTGTTCACACATTTGATGTTACATAAAACGCCTTAGAAGTGGAATGCTTGTTTCAGGCATTAAAAAGGTTCCCAAAATAACCATTTCGAAATTTCAATTCTTGTGTAACGTGTTGATTGAGGTTGCAACGAAAGGACACAGGGTGTTGGTAAAACTCAACTGGACTTTATTTTGCGTTGTTCGGCAGAATAGTTAACAAGAAGAAGCTTGTGCAGTTTCTTGTCTCCGTTATTTATATTCTTTCCCCCAAAAAGGCCACGTCTTTTTGGGAGACTTGCTGTCTTTCTTTTACCCCCGTCCAGTTTGGCGGGGGAGTCAGATATCGTTCAACCTTCGTTGTAGGGCCGCGCTGGCCGTTCGGCCGGGTAGCGGTACGCGGCCGGCGACTAGGTCAGCTGTGCACGTGGAGGTGATAAAAAAATAAAGGAATAAAGCCATTTCCGTACTTGCAAACGTCAAGGAAGTTTTCTCTCTGCCAAATCCTTGGCATCTGCAAGCGGACTGTTTTAACCCCTTAACGCGCAGAAACGTATTAACACGGGCGTGCAAAACCGGCCAAAATGTGCAGACCCGTATATATACGGTCGGCGTCGCAACTTATGTCGCTAAAATGTTCAGATTCGAATATATCCGGGCAGTAAAAATAACTTAATAAAAACCAAGGAAAACATTCAATTTATTGATATTCATCGTGTAATTCTGTATTGTAAGCTGTAAAGTTTGTTTATTTGGGATTATAAAATATGGCCTTTTAGGGTGACGCTTATAAGCATCTCTGACCTGGTAATTGTTTCTATCTATCTATATCCATTATTGCGTATCTAATTAGCGTT